ACTAACGACGTTTTGTCTAATATAGGTAATCGAACTTTTATTGAATGTAATCATCTTAGTCACATCATCTTAGTCACATCATCTTTGTCACGTCATCTTAGTCACGTCATCTTAGTCACGTCGTCTTTACCCCATCATCTAAGTCAGCAGTTCTCAACGTGTGGGTTGCGATCCCTTTGGGGGTCGCACGACCCTTTCACAGGGGTCACCTAAGACCATCTGAAAACACACATGCTCTCAAGTTATGAAGTATCAACGAAAATAATTTTGTGGTTGGGGGTCGCCACAGCATGAGGAACTGTATAAAAGGGTCCCGGCATTATAAAGGTTGAGAACCGCTGATCTAATCGCATCAACTTTGCTACGTCATCTTCGTCACGTCATCTTACCGTCATGTTCGCCACGTCATCTTAGTCACGTCATGTTTGCCACGTAAAGTACATGTCACCTTTAGTTTTTAACTAGCCCCTACTTCTTTTCGTATTTTTATTTGTCCTGTCCGCTGAGGAAGGCTCTTCACCGAAACGTCCTTTTTTTGTGGTCCTGTCTTTTGATTATAAGCTTCCACATACCTTGTTCTACTCTTTCCTTCATATGACTAGAACTCGGTTCTTCATTTATAGCCTCATTTCATGTCAAGCCTTTCTTTGAATTTCCAGATTTTAAACAACTAAATTAATCCTTGAGAGAAGTACATTACAGGACACATGTGCCAGATTTTAGGGCCTTCTTAAACTTATCACAGATCTTCAATTTGAAATAAATTAATAAAGATAACATCAGTCAGAATCTTTATTGTATCAACATATAAACAAATAAACATAGTGTTCGTATTTTCTAAAACCAACTTGGCTTTAATGTGACCCAACTTACGTCTCAGGAAGGCCTGCCATTTTGCTACGTGTGTCTGGTGGTGATGGAGAAGTTGGACTACCTCATACAACAGAACGCATCTCAGCCTGAGATCGATGAGATACTGTACAACTTGTGTAACTTGACCACAGGCACCGTAAGAGATGAGGTGAGTTTAGTTTTATGATGAACATTTTAAAAGTTTTAGGTGACCTTCTTAAACATTTGAATAGATGTATTACTAATTTTTACTTTTAAAAATACACTGTCCCATGATCTGTAAAATAAGATTGTTTCTGATATTTCCAGAATAAATTAATTTATATACGATAAAAATTTGATTGTTGTAAGAAAGAGAAAACAAAATCATAGAGAGGAATGTTTCAAATTAAACATATCAAATGTAAAATATTAAGGAAAAAAAACAACAACGATTAATTCGCGGTTTCCAACTGAATTATTTTCGTTGGCATTTAAAAATTGGTTCACGTATACAATGGTATACGTAGTGGATGGGGTGGTTGGCCCTAGGTGACGCTAGTTACACCAATAAGAAGTGTTCGTTTTATCATTTTGAAAATTTTAAAATTCCCATAACGATATTGTAAAACTTTGCAAGAGATAGAGAAATAGAGCTGACCAATTAATAAGTTGATGGTTTTCATGTCCTTCTATCTGTAGTGCATCAAGGCAATCCCATGGGTTGAAGGCCAACTCCAAAATGGGTTTGACCCCCAGGCTGCTTGTATCAAATTAATGCTGTGTTCCAGTTCAAGTGTGAACGAAGCGGTCCATTTAAATGGTAAACCTTAGCCTCGTTCTTTAGAGTCTCAAGTACCCGATGACTAGGAGGAATTTTTTTTTAGAATCAAGGCATCCCATCTACAATCACTCACAACCACAATCTAGTTCACTCTCAACCACAATCTATCACAACCACAATCTAGTTCACTCACAACCACAATCTATCACAACCACAATCTAGTTCACTCACAACCACAATCTAGTTCTCTCACAACCACAATCTAGTTATGAGGCGTTGTGGATCAAATTAATAGTGACTATACATTGTTAAAGTTTATTATACGCTAAAATACACGATCACAATAATAATCATACATAGTTAATACTTGAACTGATCCAAAAACACTTATCATAAAGCTTCTCGGTAACTTCTCCACTTTATAAAGATATCACTGTACAATGACCAAATCCTACAGCATAATATGGACTTAATAACCGCACCATTTCGACTCTATCTTTGTTCTTCTTGGGATAATTCTCACATTACTTGACTCCCTTGAAATCATTATCTCGTATCTGTGACACAAAGGAAATATAAATGTGTGTATAATTCCTTCTAGTAAATGAGTGATGAAATCAGCTATCAAATATCGCAACGCAATACTGACATTAACTCCTTGCGTGTATCTTTAGATGTATTTGCACCTGGCCCAGGTAGACCCAACTTCCGGTCGTTGAAATCTCTTGGATCAGATCTTAAGCAGCAAATGATACGCCGATTGACTGGGGGAAAGCTAAGCAGGTGTAGCGGACTGCTCTGTACTGCTGCTGATTGCGAGCTCTGCAAGAAGGTTATTTCTCTAATGGACAAAGATTTATTCAAGGACAAGGTAGGACATTACGGAAGAGTACTCGACTAAACATATTTTTGACATCACGTTATAACATAGATCGGTTGGCCAACAGCTAGCGGTGCAGGTTTCATAAGCAACAGTTGCACTGTGTAAATAGGTGTATATTATAAGGAAATTATATTTAAAGGTTAAACCACGGTTATTTGGTTTGATTCCCCCCAAGGGGAAAAGAAAGAGAGGATGGATAATGCGAGCAGTCCCCCCCCCCCCCTCACCCGAAAATCACTTAGTTTGTGTCGGTGTTTTAGGTCCATTTCACGTTTATATTATGTCGATTTCTTTGTTTGCTCCTGTTTTCCATAATTTAGGGCGGCAAAGTAAAAAACCGCCCCTGGCGCCACCAGCTGTAATTACCCCCTTTTTCATTCCTTTTTCACACCGGAGTGCGAGAGAAATCGTTTGAGGCTCTCAGACAAAATATTTGATGCTCTCAGACAAAATATTTGATGCTCTCAGACGAAATATTTGATGCTCTCAGACGAAATATTTGATGCTCTCAGACGAAATATTTGATGCTCTCAGACAAAATATTTAATGCTCTCATGATGCTCCCAGACAAGAGATTTGACCCCTTTATGAATGTCCATAAGTCACAGAATATACAGGCTCAGCAATATGGCATCTAATCCATTACGATATATCAATCTAACAGGACAAACTACTAGCTGCTATAAATAAACTGTGTCATGGCCTGGCACCCCCAGCAGACTCTACAGTAAGTCACTGACCACGCACAATAGTAATGAATACGTTCGATATTATTTACAAGTGTACTTTAGAAATAAAAAAATTAAAAAACTTGTTTTGTTCAAAAGTTAAAGGGAAAATAATGTATTCGCTACCTTCAACGTAAAATGCTCTAGACACATAAACAACGAATCAATGTACTTTAAATGAATACATAATTTAAATAATTTCTTTTGCGCATAACTGAACTTTATTAAGCTGTTTTTCTTTTTTGCCACTTAAATAAATATTGCATTTTTTTATTCATAACATTTTTTGTTCCAGTGTCTGACAACCGTTGACGCCCAATTTCCGATCTGGTGGGACTATTTTTTCCAGCACATTGTTACACCTGACGACATCTGTGATGTCCTCAAACTTTGTCCTTAATTATCCCGAGGACAAACTGAGACAAGTGTTAGCTGTGATGAATTAGGTTATAGTTAATGAATTAAATGAACGAAGGCTAAACAATTTATCTTGAGTTCATGATTTCTAGGTTTGAGAAAACTGACCGGGGGCTACAGAGAATGTTGAACTCGTGAAAAAACTATAAAACAACGGCTACAACTGTGTGGCTGGGAGATTTTGACATCGTAGTAGCTGTTTTAATTGCTGTGATGACGTTAGCTTTTATCAACGATAAATCAAGTGTAAAACAACATTTTTAGACTTCAAACAATTTTACTGCTGAACTCAGAAATTTGAAAATTTAAGGTAAAAAGGGAAATTGAATGTATAAACATATTTTGCATACAACACCATAACAGCACGCAAGACACAATAGCAGTGCACACAATGCAGCAATGCACACAAGACACATCAATGCACACAATTCACAACATTAAAGCACACTACACACAACAGCCATGCATATGTCACGGAGCGTTCTAAAGTTTAAAGTATGCACTCCATTATTTTAACATATGGCTCGTTGCTAAACACTTCAAAATTCAGAAATCCTTGCTAACTTAGATAAGAAACCATGACATTTGTCGTTGTCAGCGAAATATGTTGTTCAATCTGTTATTGCAGATTTTGTTTCCTTTTTCGTTCGTGCCTAATAAAATAAAAGTTGCTGTACATTATGTTGACATTGGCAATGCAGTTCAGGTCAAGAAAACCCTATAGGGTCAACCATGAAAAACTTGAAATAACCTTGTATGAAATAAAATACATGCTTGAAAATCATATCATTAAACCAAGTTCTTGTCACTGGAAATCCCAAATTTTTTCTGGATCTTGGAAAATACCAAATCAATGTCTAACTCTTGGTCTTTGTCTTGCTAAATTTCAACTTCATTGTCTAACTCTGGGTCTGTGTCTTACTAAATTTCAACTTCAGTGTCTTGCTCTGGGTCTGTGTCTTACTAAATTTCAACTTCAGTGTCTAGCTCTGGGTCTGTGTCTTACTAAATTTATAATTCAGTGTCTAACTCTGGGTCTGTGTCTTGGCTATTGTAAACTTTAATATAACTCTTGGTCTGTTTCTTGGGCAGTGTCAACTTAAATTTCTAACTTTGGGTTGTGTGATAAGGCAAATGTCAACTTCAGTGTCTAAGATGTTTCTTTAATGTTATTAATTGATTTTAACTACATATTTTCTAAATTTAGACATTATTACGTCACAATACTACGTCACTATTATATTGCCGAATTAAAGGTCATAGAAAATTAACTCTGTGCAGTGAGCCATCAATGTGATTTAAAAATAAACTTTAATTCATTTTGAGATTATATTGCTATGCGTCATAAAGTTTGTAATTATATTTTATATAGTTTTTTTCTAGAGCAGAAAAGAAGTCTAGACCAATTGAAATAAAAGGAAACAAAAACGTATCTTCAATCGTTCAATAACGTCGTAATTTGTGCTACTGTCATCCCGCCAATCAAATTGTTGATTTGGGTAAAATGTTGGATACAGTATACACTGGTGAATAATTTAAATTTTTTTGAGAGGAAGTAGGATATATTTGTGAATAATTGAATTGGAGTGTGTGTTTGCCGTAGAGGGGGTGAGTGTAGGATAAAGTGGTGAACAATTTCTTATAAGTCGAGTCCAATAATTTACATTTGATTTATGATTATATTACAAAAAGTTTCAAAAAATTATACATTGAAAATGAAAGGTCTAAAGTAAGTGCAATATCCTTGGCCATCTCGTAAATCAGTGTCCAACGAAAATATTAAAGAAAATAAGCACAAGGTTATTAAAAATACAAATCCATATTTGTTATAAATTAACAAATCTGCACCCCGTATATGAGGAGATAATATAACGTCGTGAATAAGATTCTTATTCAGAGATCATAGCTTAATTCGATGAAATAATTGGATAAAACGAATTATCTAACTTAGCAGAGGTAGGTTGATTAGTTGATTGGCAAGATTAACTAAATAGGCTCACAATAGAGTTAACTAAATTCACTAACAACAGTTTTGGAACATGACCCAGAACTCATTGATTGCCAAACGTGTTGCAGGAACTCAGGTTTACACATCGCTGTGACAAAGTTTCGATACGTGAAATCACAGACAGAATACTTTGTCAGCGAGTAGGCGAACACATTACTAGAGAGCCTGGTTATATTCAACATCTTGGCCATGATGCCCGTAATAAAAGCATCTTCGTTGGGGACAATGGCAACATACGGGAACCTCTTGACCATCAGCTGGACTGCAGGGGACGAAATGACATAAGAATGACCGTAGATGTATTTCGGGAAGACGTTCAGCGGGTAAACGTCTTGTGAGACTGCCCACCTCCCTGCTCGCGTCACACCTGGTTTCGTGGAACCGTGTTGGCGCCCTACGACAAAATGTGTGTGAAATTGAGATATGTTTCTGACAAACTGAAGGAGCATCGGAACATGGGCAAAAACATCTGTGTCGATTTTAGCAACATACTTGGCACGTGGACAATGTTGAACTGTCCATGTAAGCGATGTAGCCAGCTTGAGTGAAAGATTTTGATATGATTCCTGAAAATCTGCAACAACAATATCCCCGTATTGGTCAGACTCTAGCTTCAAAGCTCGAACTTCATCAATCCTTAGCCCAGCTCCGCCAAAGAAAAATGCCATCCTGACGATTTCATTTTGATACCAGGAACCACCGTAGAGCTGAGACGCCCATGTCGTCCTGATATCCAGCCTCGTTTTAGTTTCACCGGGCAAGCTCATTAAAATAATCAACATTTCCATGGGATCCAAGGCACAGATTGCTTCACACGATATCTTAAAGGTTGATGGGATTTTGGAAATGGGCGTTTGCTTTTTCTGGAAGTAGGTCAGGTTCTGAAAATAGCCAGAAAATTCTGTGACTTCGGAGACTGGTCTGTCCGTTGTGGATAAATTCACTAACAGGTCATCAGTGAAGTTCGAGTTAGACACTGTGTCTTTAAACGATTGTAGCGTTCTATTTATGATAATGCAGCCAAGACTTATATTTTGCCAAGGGTCTGTGGCAACCGCTGTCTCTCGGTTTTTAAAAAAGTTAAGTCTGTGAAACAAAAGTCGGTGCAGACGGCCAGCTGTCGTCAGGTTGAATAAATTGATAACAACCAATACAAAAACTCCAATGCAAATGATCACTTTAAGGTGATGCTTGATAGTAGATGTAAACATCATTCTGAAAGTATGAATACAAGTTGAAACATTGAGAGAGATAAAGACGAATGTTTTCGTAATACAAAAAGGACTTTTCAATACATTTTAGATATAAATACCTAAAGCATGGTCAAATATGTCAACACCTACTTCTCTGTAGGTTTTTACTGTTTTTTTTTTTAAATTAATTATTTCTCTACATCCTAGCGAAAAAAAGTTATTTATAATTCATAAATATAAATTATTTTACTTAAAGTCATTCACAGCTCACAATATCTTCTAAACTTCATTTAAAATTTTATTTTGGGAAGCCACTTTCACAATTGTCCCATTAATGAGACATGGTAGAGTTGATTCTAGAGTGAGAAATGAAGGTAAAATTGAAGATTCTATAATTAAAATTTCGAAATAAAAACTGCAATATTACAATGTGTCGAACTATATGTCTATTCACTTGATCAAAGCGAAGAAAATATAGACACAAAAGAAACTATCACAGTGAAGAAAATATCACAGAGAAGAATGTATCACAGATAAAAACTATCACAGAAAAGAAAATATCACAGAGAAGAAACTATGACCGAGAAGAATGTATCACAGGGAAGAATGTATCACAGAGAAGAAAATGTCACAGAGAAGAAACTATGACAGAGAAGAATGTATTGTAGAGAAGAATGTAACAGAAAATAAACTATGACAGAGAAGAACAATCACAGAGGAGAATGTATTACGCAGAAGCAAATTTCACAGAGAGAATAAACAAATTCACATAGAAGAAACTATCACATAGAAGAAACTATCACAGAGAAGAAAATATCACATAAAATAAATGTGACAAAGAAGAGAATAAATTGAGTACAAACTTCTTCAACCATGGAGTCAGCACAAGTGTTGATTGTTTCCGAAAATTCCGACCACCATTTGCTCTGGATTTCTCGCAGTTATGTCTGCTGGTTGCTGCCATCTGCACAGTTAAGAGGTGATGTCGCATGTTTTCTGATTCGACACGCTAAGCTCGGTAGCGGTCAGTAAGTCGGCAGACGTTTATTCTGCTTACTTTCAATATTTCAAATATCACCACAGTCTATAGAATTGATGTAATCCTAATCCTGGGGCTAACATCGTGAACAACATTGTTCGAAAGTGGTACTACTTTAGACATTCGACTAAGCAGGTCAGATTTTATGTTTAAAATAAATTCATCATGAGTTTAAACAACGTCATTTCAGTGCAAGATCCAACAGTTATTCTTCATATTATTACCAACTAAACCTTGTCGTAGGAACATTCCAAGAGAAGCCATTTGTTAAAAATCTGATCCTTCGTTGTTAAAATGAAATAAAAAACAAAAAAAGTCGAACAAAATAAACTCACAATTTAAGTGGTACAAGGTTACACAGTAGAAAATCAACACACTCCACTTAAAACAAGCCCAGGGGTTCTAAAACTGTGTGCAGTGGAGGTCAATAATGAGCCATTATTTAAGTCTAAAACTAAATGCAAACTTTACTGAATGCCACCTGGGGCTCACTTCCAAGTACCTTTAAGATGGCATGGCTGCTTATAAGTAAAGTACTATTATTTTAAAAAGGAATATTACTAAACAATGGTTCATTCCTTTGCATAAAAAAAAGAAACAAACTTTTACTTCGCTGTCAACCATTCGTAAATTAACGGGCATTCCGTAAAAATTGGACAACCTTGTCTTAAAAACCTTCTTAAAAAATTAACCAAACAGAAATGTCTATAACGCCCTTGACACATAACAACACCTGGAATCTTTCAAACACAACAAAGAATGGAGTTCTCAGCATTTTTTTTTTTTTACCATTTGCTTCAAATTCTTATGAATATCATCTGCAGCTAATAAACTCCAAAACAAGTTTCATTCAAAACACCATTGCTACATATAATATGCAGACTATTGCTACATATCATATGCAGACTATTGCTTCAAATTGTAAGCTGAATATTGCTAGATATAGTAGGCTTGCTTTTACTACATACAGTAGACTGACTATTGCTATATATAGCAGGCTTAATATTACTACATGTAGAAGACTGAATACTGTAACATGTATTAGGCTGACTATTGATATATCTTGTAAGCTGACTATTGCTACATATAGTAGGCTGACTAGTGCTACATATTGCAGGCGTAATATTGCAACATATAGTAATTTTACAATTGCTATATACAGTAGGCTGCCTATTTTTAAATAAAGTGGGCCGACTATTGGTACATATTTTAGCTAACTATTGCATCATATAGCATCGTGACAATTATTTTATATATTTGTTTTACAATTGCTACGTATTTTGGGTTGACTATTGCAATATTTTTTTTCTTCATATTGTAGGCTGAATATTGCTACATATGGTGGCCTGACTTTGTCTACATATTGTAGGCTGACTATCGCTATATATAGTGGGGTGACTAATACTAAATATGAAGGGCTGACTATTGCTATATATATTGGGGTGAATTTTGCTACATATTGTAAGCTTACTTTTGCTCCATTTAGCTGGCTGAAATATTTCATTCACTTTAAGGGACCGAGCTATTGCTCTTTAATGGCCCCGGCAAGTATGGAACAGGCCTGCCTCATCTTTTGGGCAGTCCCGTAAATCAGACTTTCGACATTGTTGGCTGGGAGCACCCATCGTCCCACCAGTCGCTAATATCGAGCACTCGCCTAGAAGGTGCTCTATTGTCTCCGGCGCCTGTCCACAATGACGCCAGCTCGAGTCCCGCAGTGGGTGCAGTCTTTTTAGATAGCTCCTCGTGGGGCAATGCTCTGTCCTCATCTGCGTGATGAGGCTCTGCTGGTGGCGTTTAAGACCCCACCATTGATCGCCCTTGCGGTTTGTTTTTGGCATGCTCCGGTAAAGTTTTCGGGCAGTGGTACCCTGTTCCCATTCTTTCCTCCATTCCTCATGGAAGAGGTCCTTGATCCAGGCCTTGACCCCCAGTTGGGTCATTGGTCTGTTAGGTTGAGGCTGGGAAGAGCCTTGCCTCGTAAGATAGTCAGCTCTGACTTGTGGGGGGAATCCCCTCGTGTCCAGGGATCCATTGAAGGGCCACTGTCCCTCCGTGAGACCGTAGCAATGAACCGTTGCTGCTGAATATTTAATTTTAAAATGCCATGCTGAATGAATTAGGAAATTAGCCTAAAAAAGGAGGGGGGGGGGGCATTTAGTCAAGACATAAATATCGTCACTTTTTTTTTTTTTACCGATGCAATAATATTTAATTTTAAAATGCCATGCTGAATGAATTAGGAAATTAGCCTAAAAAAGGAGGGGGGGGGGCATTTAGTCAAGACATAAATATCGTCACTTTTTTTTTTTACCGATGCAAACAGTTTAAAGGCATTTTTAAGGCAACTTTTTTAGGGCAACTTCTGGTCAATGAAATTTCTTGGGTAAGATTTCAAGCAACAATTGACACGGCGTTTTACTGCGGGAAAGATAAAGAAGTGTAGTGGACTGCTCTGTACTGTTGCAAAAAGCTTATTTCTCTATTGGAGACAGATTTTTGCAAGGACAAAGTAGGAGATTATGGAAAAGTATTTATTATTTTATACATCACATTATAAAAAAGCTCGGTTGGCCAACAGATTGTGATGCATGTTTTACAAGCAGTAGTTGCACTGTGTAAATAGATATACATTATAGGGAAATATCATTTACATTTAAACCATTGTTATCTTGGTTCATCTCCCCCAAGGAGCGTAGAAAGAAAGGGTTGATGTGGTGCCGCCCCCCCCCACCAGCACACAATTTTGGTCGGTATTTTAAATACATTTCATGTTTATATAATGTGCATGTGCGAGAGAAATCAGTGGAAGGGATCGTTCATCCTGACGTCTTAAAATATCATGAGATGCTCTCAGACAAAAGGTTTAATGCTCTCAGACAAAAGATTTGTTTCTCTCAGACAAAAGATTTAATGCTCTCAGACAAAACATTTGTTTCTCTCAGACAAAAGGTTTAATGCTCTCAGACAAAAGGTTTAATGCTCTCAGACAAAAGATTTGTTTCTCTCAGACAAAAGGTTTAATGCTCTCAGACAAAACTTTTGTTTCTCTCAGACAAAAGGTTTAATGCTCTCAGACAAAAGGTTTAATGCTCTCAGACAAAAGGTTTAATGCTCTCAGACAAAACATTTGTTTCTCTCAGACAAAAGGTTTAATGCTCTCAGACAAAAGGTTTAATGCTCTCAGACAAAAGGTTTAATGCTCTCAGACAAAAGGTTTAATGCTCTCAGACAAAAGATTTGTATCTCTCAGACAAAATATTTAATTCTCTCAGACAAAAGATTTGTTTCTCTCAGACAAAAGATTTAATGCTCTCAGACAAAACATTTGTTTCTCTCAGACAAAAGGTTTAATGCTCTCAGACAAAAGGTTTAATGCTCTCAGACAAAAGATTTGTTTCTCTCAGACAAAAGATTTAATGCTCTCAGACAAAACATTTGTTTCTCTCAGACAAAAGGTTTAATGCTCTCAGACAAAAGGTTTAATGCTCTCAGACAAAAGATTTGTTTCTCTCAGACAAAATATTTAATTCTCTCAGACAAAAGATTTGTTTCTCTCAGACAAAAGATTTAATGCTCTCAGACAAAACATTTGTTTCTCTCAGACAAAAGGTTTAATGCTCTCAGACAAAAGGTTTAATGCTCTCAGACAAAAGATTTGTTTCTCTCAGACAAAAGATTTAATGCTCTCAGACAAAACATTTGTTTCTCTCAGACAAAAGGTTTAATGCTCTCAGACAAAAGGTTTAATGCTCTCAGACAAAAGATTTGTTTCTCTCAGACAAAAGGTTTAATGCTCTCAGACAAAACATTTGTTTCTCTCAGACAAAAGGTTTAATGCTCTCAGACAAAAGGTTTAATGCTCTCAGACAAATGGTTTAATGCTCTCAGACAAAAGATTTGTTTCTCTCAGACAAAAGGTTTAATGCTCTCAGACAAAAGGTTTAATGCTCTCAGACAAAAGGTTTAATGCTCTCAGACAAAATTTTTAATGCTCGAAGACAAAAGATTTGTTTCTCTCAGACAAAAGGTTTAATGCTCTCAGACAAAACATTTGTTTCTCTCAGACAAAAGGTTTAATGCTCTCAGACAAAAGGTTTAATGCTCTCAGACAAAAGGTTTAATGCTCTCAGAAAAAACATTTGATGCCCTCAGACAAAGTAGATGTTATCGCATCCCGACACGATACAGCTCACAAAAATCGTGAGTTTGCATCCATCCACTCTCACCGATTAACTTTGAGGGTAGAAGGTCAATCCCGCAACATTAAAATTGATTATCCTTGGATGGGAGAACGAACATTAAAACCATCCAACCAAATCATCAGCCAACTAAAATAAATAGCAAGAGCAGATCAGAATCTGTCTTTTATGATCTGATCACTTGTTTGTGAATGTGACGATCTGAAGCTGGACTTAGTAAAATTTCCTCCATCGTAAATCCACCCTTGGAAAGCCTTGTAAAATAACACCTTTCCCTCCCCTCAAATCGCCCAGCAGTCGCTTAGCACGAGTGAGTTCCTTTGTATTATCACATTCCTGCATCAGTTCGCTCACCTCTAGAGCGTGCAATTTGCGGTCAACCCATCCCAACGAACAACCTTGAGGAAATAATACCATTCCCCCCCCCTCATTTTTTGCCCTGTAGACAGCAAGGCGGAGTATCGTCCCTTGCTGGTTTTACAAAGGCGTCAATAATGATGTTCACCTCAGCCCGATAAAATTTGAAGGTTGAAGGGCAAACCCACAACATCGAAAGTGATTGTCATTGGATGGGAAAACATACATTTGAATCACCCAATTGAATCATCGGCTAATCATCACCCAACTCGAATAAATAGCCTGAACAAGCAAGAATCTGTCTTTTATGATCATGCTCACTTGACCTGGACTTGAGAACTTCTTCAGCGTGATACATAACTTCAACCTAGGACTTAGCAAGTATGCGTCTTTTAAGATCTGATCACTTAATTGTGAACGCTTGAATTAACTGGACTTAGTACTTCACTGGCGTGATACTTAACTGTAGCTGCTACCTAGAGTACTAGTCTTCTTCTTCTTTATTTTAAGGGCCCACGATCAAGAATTGATCATTCTGGCTCCTAGTAAGTACGCAACCATGATTTTGACATTATAGTATTGCACTTGTATTGTTCATTCGCTATAATCGATCGTGTTTGATCTTATTCTAATAATTCCTATATTAATGTTATGAATTCTATTATTACTTTTGCCGCTGGCTACGACACGCTGCCATCCTATCATGGGGATGGTAGGTTGTTGTTCCAACTCGCCCATGTCTCCTTTAACGAGAAGACAATATGTATACTATAAACCTGTAAATTTCATGATTGATAATG